GCCAAGAGAAGCACGCAGGTGGGACACCTACCACGAAGCCACCCGACCACCAACCGGAGGCGAGACCGCGAGGCAGAACATAAGCAGCCCCGACAAGGCCCCTCCGAGCCCAGGAAAAAGGCGGAGCCGCGGGAAGATCTCGGGCGCGACCACCGAAACCCAGGCGGCACAAGGAGATGGAACGTCTGCCGAACAGAAAAACTCCCCAAAGCATGCAAGCCCGCCAGGAGTTCAGAAACGACGGGTCCGACGCGAGACATCGCAAGACCCCAAAAAAAAAAAACCGGCAGGGCAAGCTAGGAAACCAAAGAAGGCGGAAGGGTCGCCGCCAGAACAGTACCCGAACCAAGGGGTACGAACAACTGCAATAGACCGAGACAAAGAAGCACATCACAGGACACAGGCTGACCAACGCCTAAGAACACACGCAGAACATCCCTGCTGCAGAGGAGGCAGGAAGAAAGAGCAGAAGCACAAAAACCCCAGGAGAACAACCAGGGGTGGACAATCAGGCAGGGACAGAAAAAAACCCACGCAATCCCCAGGCACAAAACGGCAGCAAAGTGCCACTCCACAACCGGACACAGGAACAAGGACACGCCACCGTGAAACACGGTACCAATGCACACGTGCAGCAGCAGCAACAGGCACCACTGCAACATGCAACATGTAAATAGCAACTCCCTTCTGCAAAGGCAGAGAACGGAGCAGGCAGACCCCAGACAGGGCCAACGGAGACACGACAAAACCCTGCAGGCCCAGAAACCTGCACCAGGCGACCGACGGCGGAGAAACCCCGCTCGATACCTGCTGGATGAGGTACTGGGAGCTCTTTTACACCTGAAGCCCGGCCCAAGGCCAGGCTAGACCGGCCAGAGGGTGGCCCACCAGGCAGCTGCTAGGAGCAGTCCACCGGCCCACATACCCCCACAACCAGGACGGGCCGGAACTGCCATACGAAAACAGGCTAGTGCGCCCTGGAAGTCCACGGACGAACCAGCAAGAAGGCTTATGCTCGCAAGTAGGTCGTGTAACAAGCACAGACCTCTGATGGTAATACAGTGTTCCCCAAATGTGCCAATAGCACCACTGCACTCCACTGGTACTATCCCGCAAGTTCTACCAGATAGGCGGGACCCAAGAGCCAGAGCTCAAATCCTGCAAGCACAGCCAGGAGCCTTACCAGGTGAGTACAGAACCAACCCTACAACCCCCACACCTCACAACATTAAAAAAGGAGGGTCCCCTGAATGACTCCAGCATGGGTTGGACATGCACATGAGGGGGACAGGAAGGGTTGAAAAAGGGACAGTCACTGGTGTGCGAACGGTCTCAGTCGTACAAAAATATACCTAAATAAAGACAGGTATATAAACAACACCGCATCCAGCGCCCGGCCAAAAGACGCCAGACCGCAGAAACTCACCTGGCGAATGGTGGCACGAACTTGACACGACTCAACCGTGCCCAGAAGAACCTGGGAGCACCGCCAGGTGAAGACGCCAGAGCCGGACCCTGCCGGACCCGCAGGAGAGCAGGGAGAGGCGAAGGAGGCGGTCCACACCCATGACACAGGGAAAACCGCGGTGTCCTCCCCACAACTGGGAACCAGGACACCCCCGGCGCGAAGGGGCACATACCGCAGCCAGGGAGAAGAACGAGAGGCGAAGCACTGTAGCAAAAAGGGCGCAAAACACCAGCACTGAAACACCGCCCAGACCAAAACAAACTCCACGGCGCATGCGCATAACACGCTGGCCGAACCGCACACCCTCCCTGCGGGAAGGCGCCAGCCAGGACTACTGCACGAGAAAAGTAGCCAAAAGAGGAAGCAGGAACAATAAAACCGGCCAAAGAAGCAAAGAGCCCAAAAAGGAACCCAACCGGGCGACAAGCAGCCCAACCGGGCGACAAGCAGCCCAACCGGGCGACAAGCAGCCCAACCGGGCGACAAGCAGCCCAACAGGGCGACAAGCAGCCCAACAGGGCGACAAGCAGCCCAACAGGGCGACAAGCAGCCCAACAGGGCGACAAGCAGCCCAACAGGGCGACAAGCAGCCCAACAGGGCGACAAGCAGCCCAACAGGGCGACAAGCAGCCCAACAGGGCGACAAGCAGCCCAACAGGGCGACAAGCAGCCCAACAGGGCGACAAGTAGCCCAACAGGGCGACAAGGACGAGGAGCCGACAGACGTTCCAATAATGCGGGAAGTAGCGAAAAACCTTCCCGTACCCTCGAGAACACAGAAGCCAACACTAGTCCCGAAGGCACACGAAGGCGCAGGCGCACCCGAGATCAGAAGTCACGCAGAACCCCATCGAACGGGGAAACATGACGAAAACACCGTCCCAAAAAGGGGTGGGAGGAAACATCCACCCACAGGACGGAACCAACCGACTCAAAGGCCAAGGAACCGAGCCCGGGGAGAGGCCGACGCCCAACAGCACGTACGGCGAGTGGGGAGGAAAAACCCCACTCCGCGTAACCACAAGCCCCGCCTAGAGGGGGATAAAAACCCCCACGGGGTCCAACGGGGCCAAGGCCCCCCAAGTCAGCCCCTCCCCAGCCCCGGGAACCTACACGACAGGCCCCGGGGCCGAGCCGTTCCCCCAAAGCCCCGGCCGTACCAGAAAACCGGGGCAGCCGTGAAAACACTAATGAAGGGAGCCCACTGGCAGACTCGTACAACACGGCTGGAGGAACAGGCTCAAATGCCCCCGTCACTACCCCGGAAGGGGAATTCCCCGAGACTGCCCGAGTCTCAACACCATCAAAAACCCCGCCCCGAACCTACAGACGGTAAGGAACCGGATGCAGGCAGGAAGGGTGATCCAGGGGAAAGACAAGGGGGCGTGGATGGAACCGAAGCAACCAACACCCCCAAGTCCCAAAACGAACTACAACGGGGCAGCCCCGGGGCTCCCGGGGAGGAAACCACGAGAACGTTGCCACCACCAAGGCTCAAGTGCAACGCCCCTGCTGCCCGCACCCGCTTTGTTAGCACAACTGGGTAACCGAGCCACAACGAGCAACCAAACTCGCAGGACTCCGGGTCGAAGGTGTCACCGACCCCACAGGCAGCAGACGGAGGCAAAACAGAGAGTCACCCAGAGACAAAGGGTGAGAGCAACCCTCAAACTCGCTGGAAGCGAGGGGGGGACTCTGGGGTCACATCCATCGGACCCGCGCGCCCCCAGGGGTTTCCCAGGGTCCCGAGCGTTTACTATAAGAGGACTCGCGCTCAGGTAATCCCAGGCAGGGTACTGCTAACCGGCACCCAAAGCTACCAAACAACTTTCTAAGAGCTGAACCCCCGGGACGTGTACACTCACGGGGACCTAGCAGGGGTACCACCAGAAAATACTCAGAACACAAGGGACACAAGGGGCAAGAACGAAGGCAGACCCCCCACCAGGTAGATAAACAAAAAGAAAAAGAAAACCCCGCAAGAGGACAGCGTACCCAAGCGGAACAGAGCCGGCCGCTATGATTGGTAAAGACAAGCTGCACAGTACCCTGCGCCCCACCAGTGCAAAAACTGCCCCTTACTCTAAGGCGAACAAGGGAGACAGAACACCCGAGCACACAAAGAGCGGCCGAAAACCAAGCAGTAAACGGCCAAGCAGGGGCAGGACCCAAGGAACTTGTGGAAGGTGGCCCCAAGCCCCAAGGGCAGTACTTACAGGGCACCTAGGGAAGGGAACCCTAGGCGCATGCAGCCCGAGTACTGAAGAATCACTCCCGGCTCACGCACCACCTAGAAAACAGACACCACACTCTAGGTACAGTGCTGAAACAACCACTGGAGCCGGAGCACATAACCGTTGCCTATAGCATCAGCCGAAGAACTGATGGGTGGATAGCCGGCGTGGGAGGTCTGGGGCTCCCCCTTCCCCCTCCCGGGGAGGGGGGAGCTGCGCAGACAGCGGCGCGGTGACGTATGACGTCATACTAGTTTCCTTGTTTTCTGTTGAAGAGTTCTATCCACTAGTTCGGCTTTAGGTAGCAATTTTCACCAGAATAGGGGTTTGTTTTGGAATGCTTACCTTTCTGGATGCTTGACCCGGTCGATGGCAGACATAGAATGCTTCCAACCACACGGGGGTTTCTATAGGCCATTGCTCCCCTTGCCTCTCTGAGGGGGCCAGGTTCTGGCTCGTGGTCCCCGGTAGGCCCTAGAACTCCATACACATGACTGATGCCAAAGTCTGACATTAGCATATCAGCCGGTAAAGCTCCGGGGAGCCGACGGGGCTCCCCCCAGAAATTCTTATCTGAACGACTTGGGGATTGTATACATGTTTGCCATGAAATTTCTGTTTTCTTTAATAACCACATTACCTATTTGAGAAAACGGCATTGTATTGTATCTTCGTGGTAAGACTATTATATTGTTGACACAACGAGTGTAATCAACGTAGTTTTTTATTTGGTGCTGGTCTAACGCATCCTTGTGTGACATTTGAAATGAAATTTGGGTGAAATTCCCAAGAAGAGAGAGTCCGCCTGACTCAGAGGTGGATTCTCCTTCCACACCATAACCCCTCTCATCCTTCCCACCTCTCCATCGTCTCCCTCAAGCCAGCAACTACTCTTCATAAGGTAAAGTAAATATTAAAACACTACAACAAAACATTTATATTTACATGTGCAATATTATATTTACATAAAAAAAGTCATACAAGTATGGATGTTTTTGGGAGTGGAACGGATTAAATTTATTTCCTTTATTTTAAATGGGGAAATTTGTTTCCAAAGACGAGTTTTCCAGGTAACGAGCTCGGTGCCAGAACGGATTAAACTCGTTAATAGAGGTTCCACTGTACAATCATGTGTTTTCAAGATATTTAACAGGAACCCTATTGGTAGTAAAACAAAGAAAACAAAACAATAAAGTCAAAAGATATATATCTCACCAAGGATACCTAACAATAATAAACCAAACTGACACCGATTCCTAAATATAACACTCTACAATTACTGCAGTCATCTTCATGAAGAACATGTTAATACCTCAACTGACCTGATTGGGTTCTTCTTCCAGATCAGGCCCCTCCATTTCAAATCTTGCCTTCCATCTCTGATATTCAACTTGGTAGTCAGTAAGTGTAGGGCTGACAAGATACTGAAGCTCAAACATCTGAAACTGGTTTGGACTGAAAGGTTTCAACCAGTCTTCCCACTCATCCACCAGCCACTCCTCTTCATACTGATATTCAGGGAGATCTTCTTCATCACTAATAATTTCTTCATAACCAAAGCCTTCCACATCCTCACCTGGAAAATTTTAATCATATAAGAAAAGATGAAGTTGAGGATACAGCTCACAAAAAAACAGTGTTCAATGTAATGAAACGCCATTTTCTGGGCGAGTCCCGGGAGCTCCTCAGAGCTTACTGGGCTGATATGTATGTTTTAAACCGTGGCATCAGTCAATTTGATTGGTTGAATCGAATTAGCCGGTTGAACCCCCATCTAATACCGGTCAAACTGACCCCAGCAAACCGTGCATGCAATCTCGAGGGGCCCAAGGAGGACAACCAAACACAGCCTTGGTGAACCTATTCAGAAGCCAGGCAGACCGCCTCCAGGAAATAAAGAAAAACTTGAAACCCCTCGAAAATACACCACAAACAACCAGAGACCAGAGAGAGACACCGCTGCTGCGAGTATGCTAGCTGCACCAAACACCATGCGACCCACCCAACAACAACAACAACAATCCCTACCCAAGGCTAGACAGAGACCCCCCCCAAGAGCCCCGCTGAACCCCAAGAGTGAAGTTAATGACAAGCGACACCAACCTGGATGAGAGTGCAATCCTAAAAGTCCTAGGGAAGAAAACCCTCAACATGTAAGGGCAGTACCTACTGGGCGCCCAAGGAAGGTAACCCCGAGTAATTCTTGGAACACCTGGATATTCTTGGAACATTCTTGGTTATTCAGGCGCGGGGATTTGGAAATCGAACATGGTCCTGGCCGCTAGATATCTTGTCAACATTCCGGGCCCTCTGTGGCCTTGGGACATCTGTCGCAGCCACTTGTCTCATCATCGTTGTAAGACCTACGGTGATGCCGCCTCCCGGGTAAGTCCCTGTTTTTAATTATCAGTGGGTAGATAGCTTCAGGGAGCCGATGGGGCTCCCCACAGAAAACCAGAATAGTAATGAGTTGTAATGAAACGCCATTTTCTGAGCGAGCCTTGGAGGTTACCTGACACCCTCCCTCCCTCCGGTTAGCAGTTTTTCATCACTCTCCAAACTGAGGGTGCTGCAGCCGGCCCGCCTGAATGGGGTCCCCCTCAACCCTGTCGGGGGAAGGGTTAACAAGTGGGTACATTACTTGGTGTTACTTGCACCAAGGACAGCCTGGTGGACCAAGCTCTCGCAAGTCAAGCCTGGCCTTAGGCTGGTCTTGGGAGTAGAAGAACTGCCAGAACCCCCATCAAGCATGTATCAAATAGGTATCAAGCTAGTTGGATGACGTGTTGCTTGTTACAAGAAACACGTCATCGCCTTGCACAATTTTCTATTGTGGGGGGAGTTCTTTGGTTCTGTTCAGACATTGTATGCAATTTTAACCAGTTAGAGAGGTTGTAATGTAATAATGGCTTTGTAATGTCCCGGTCTAATATCACATACATTAGCCCGATAAGCTCCAGGGAGCCGTAGGAGCTTCCCACAGAAAACATAGAAATCACTCTCTAGAGGATCGCCGCAAACAGCTTCAACAAGGCAGCCAAAACCAGAACTTTGGCCAAAGGCCCCACACTCAACACCTCCCAATCCTCCAAAATCCAATCCGAGGATAGCTCGAGACTGAAGAAGCGATGGTTATTTGCTACCAAGGCAACCGAAAGAGAGGGAACCTGAGCATGCAACTGCACTACACCCACATCACGGGAAAACACAGGGGTGAAGAGTCACGCATTGAGAAACTCCAATGAGGTCCCCCCCCCCAAGAACACCTGCAACACCGAGGAAACCTCTTACCAATAAAGAGTGCAGGTCTAGTAAAATCCACGCCTAGCTTCCAAGGAAAAGAAAGGGCAGATACTCTTCCTGCTAGCCAGGAAGACTCCTGAACCTCGCAACACAACCAGTACAGGGAAGAAGAACCAAACTCAAAGGAAGCTGGGTCCATTAAAAATGAGTAAACTAGGTCTCGCAGGAGGTATGCACCAAGGACCTCCCGAACCTCCGCAGTGGAAATCTGAGAGGAAGGAAACCTCCAGAAGGACGTATCCGAGAACCCAAAAGGCACCTGGAAACGAACCCAGGGAGGGAGCTGCACCCAACTCAAATTCATACAGAGGCAGAGGATACGAAAACCACCGGCCCTGCAACATCAAACTACACTCAGAAGGCACAAAGACCCAGGCAGGATCAAAAGAAGTCCAAGCACTCCAAGCGAACTTGTCCCAAGCCCTGGGAACCCTCGACACAACCCCTGGGGCAGAGCCCATATCAAGCCAACTACCCTTAAAGAAAAGGCAGAGTCCACAGGAAAAGCTTCAAAGAGAGGAGTCTGTTGGGTCGACTCCAAAGCCTCGGCGGGAAATTTGAGCTCAACCTCCATCCCCGAGTCGGAAGGGGCAATCCTCGGATCCACCCGAGCCTCATCCCAAGTTAAACCCCACTGCCGGCCCAGAAACCCTAAGATGTTTAGGAGCCAGAAGCAAGGGGGAAGGGAGCATGGTGAACAACACCCACCTGGGAAGGAGTCAAGGGTGCAGACTGAACCAAGGTTGAAGTAACTAACACCCCCAAATCCTGGTCCCTAAAATCCAAACGGGACAGCTCCTGGGCTTCCAACAGGGCAACCAACCTGGCCCATTGACACAGAATACCTAGCATGCAACCAAGCTGCCACTTGACCCCTAACATTTTCAGACGAAGAATGGGGTAAACTGAATAACAAGTGAGGAACGTGTCCCGCAAGACTAAGGGTCGTAGGTGACCCAACAGGCAATATGATGAAGGCAGGATGGATGATTGTCACCACGAGGCATAGGCAACGAACACCCTCAGTGTCACACAAGGTGAGACAGGGCTCAGAAGACACGTCCATGATACCCCCGAGCCTTACGGGGATTTCCAGGGCCTGTAGGGGTACGTTAGCTCTACGGGAAGCCCAGGCACTGGGCCCAGCTAAGCCGGTAACTGTCTGTTGCAGGCAAACTGACAACCGGCGTCGCTGTGAAACCTCGGAGTAACAGAGGAGGACTACCAAAGACAACCTAGGCCAGCCTGATGGGAAGCTAGGTAGACCTCCTCTGCTAAGAAAGCAAGAATGCGCTAAAACAAAGGAACAACCGAAGTACAAGTACCCCGAAGCAACACACACACAGACTAACCAGTCCTTAGAGAGAATCTTCGGTCACTACTGAATGCAAGCTGCGCCGGGCGCAGTGTGCCTCACCCAGCACAAATTCACTCCACACCCGGGGCAAGATGGGAAGCCCAAGACCTCGGCGAACCCCAAGGAAGAGAACAACACAAAGCAATGAAGACCTCAAACGGGAGTGAACCCGAACAACCCAAGGAAGAAAACCCTGACTCGCAAAGGAAGTACTTACCAGGTACCTAGGAAATGGAACCCCAGGTGCATGCAGCCCAGTATACTTGTAGGAACACCTGGCCACCACACAGCTGGCAAAGTCACAAATGCAAAGTCAAAATTTGAGGCCAGAGAGGACATGTGAACATCGGCACATCAGTCTACAAACTGGGGGTGGTGCGGCCAACTCGCCTGCACAAGGTCCCCCTTCCCCCTGTCAGGGGAGGATAGGGTACTAACGAGTAGGTGTGCTAGTTGGATGACGTGTTGCTTGTTTCAAGCAACACGTCATCGTCTTGAACAAGTTTCTACTGGGGGGGTTCTTTGACTTTGTTTCGGTGTAGTTTACAATTTTGACCAGTTAGAGGTTTGTAATGGTTCGCCTACTTTTCTGGTGGTATCCCTGGTCGATGACAGACATGAAAAACTCTAAATACAGAGAGCTCATATGGCCATTGCTTCCTTCGCCTCTCTGAGGGGGGGGGGGCCAGGTTCTGGCTCATGGTCCCCCAGTAGGCACTTGAACTCAAAGGACTGATGGCATCACACTAATACGGCACACGTCAGTTTGATAGCTCTAAGGAGCCAACAGGGCTCCCAACAGAAAAGCAGAGCATCAGTCATAAAAACAGCTAAGTAAAAATGAGCTCACATATAAAAAATACCAACTAAACCTTAGGAATAATCAAACAACCCTTCAATTTCAAGGAAAAAACATGGCAATCCTAAAAATATATTACCACATTAGAAAAAAGTTTAGCAGTCAAAAAAAAAAAATCCTGCATTAATTTATATAAACCGCCCCTTTCTGATGGACCACTCAGTAGCCTCCCAATGTCACATTTTGGAAGAAGCCAAACTGAGGGCTCTATGACCTACAAGCAACTACCAGAGGCTAGGACCAGAATCCACCCCAGTCAATGAGGTGAAGGGGGAGCTGAGGATCAAAGATCACTACAGAACTGAGCAAAAGACTCACCAGAAGGTAAAAACACTTCAAAACAAATAACTGCCCAGAAAATTTGCAACCCTGATTAAAACTATGCAAACAATCATTTTCGGTGACATCATCCCCGAGATGCCCTTGCCTACCATTAGATGGCAACCCAGGTGACAATAAAATATTAGATATTCCTTCAGGAAATACATAATTGATACTTAGAAGTTACCTTCATCTGGGTGATTTTCATCCATTCCTATTTCATCCATGCAGTCATCAGGTTGGTATTCTTCCTCAACATCTCCAGTTTCTGGTGGTAAATCAGGGAGATCTTCATCATCACTAATAGCTTCCATATCTTCTTCTGTTGGCAGTGGAGGCAATACAGCATGTGGTTCTCTTACTTCAAATTCTCTTACTTCCCTTTCTCTTTCTCGACCATCGTGGGCCTCTCTCTCACGGTATTCATGAGGAGTGCCACCATGACTTCCTTCTTCACTAAAATTTTCTGCATGAAAAGGAGACCCACCCAGCACTGGCTGGGCATCAACAGGGGTCCGCGGACGACGGCCTGACTTATCAGACCTCTCAGATCGTCTTTCATCCCATTCCCTGTTATTAGAATATAATTTATAATAAAGTATTTTAAAAAGTAAGAGAGATAAACATAATATCATTAACTTTACATATCTAGCATCCAATATCTAACTCTGAGAACCATATCAATGTAATTCCAATATCATGACTTCCACTATAATAATTACAAATTTTATTTTATAGGTAAGACTTACTCAGCATTGTGCCTTCCTCTAGCAGGTGGAGGCTCTTGGGTAGGTAATCTCTCTTCTTCAAAATGTTCTCTGCTCTCTCTGCTTTGACGTCGCTCTCGCTCACGTTCTCGATCTCTTTCTCTCTCTCTACCCCTATTTCTCACTCTTTCCCTTTCTCTTTCTTTCTCTCTATCTCTCTCTCTATCTCTGTCTTTTTCTCTGTCATCCCTTTCTCTATCATATTCTCTTTCTCTGTCTCGCTCCCTTTCAAACTCTTTTTCACGCTCACGATCTCTCTCCCTTTCTCGATCACCTTCACGGCCACTATCACGTCTAGAGTCTCTGCGAGAACCACTACGTTCACTTCTTTCCCAGGATCTTTCTCTACTCCAGGACCTTTCAACAGACCGTCTTCTCTCTCGATCTCGTTCCCTATCTCTTTCACGGTCTCTGTTTTCTGCTCTATAATTTCTTTGTTCCCTCTCTCTTTCTCTTTCCCGTTCCCGGTCAAATTCCCGAGTGTGCTCTGGTCTCTCTTCATCCCACTGTTTGGGTTCTTCATATTCAAGAGGTGATCTTGGAGGCTATAAAGAGAGTACAAGGAACCAAGGAAAATCACTATAATGTTATATGGATAAACATATTAGCACAGCTTCAGAAATGTCTGAAGATGTTAAAATACAGACATACCCTATTTAGCACTAACTAAATCAGTGTTATACAGTATCATTATAACAGTCACTTTAGAGATGCATTCCCAACATTGTAATTTATTACCTATGACCAACATACTATATTAGGGGTTTATTGGGTTACTGAAACAATAATACAGATTATAACATGATTTTTACATGAATTTACCTGAATATACATAATGCACTTTCAAATTCTTTGATTAAAAAAAATGTACTTCCAATTCTCCCTTTAACAGTTCCTCCCTTCTGTCATACATGGAAAGGAGGGTGAGATGGTGACCTTGGAGCTGGCTGCCAGTTGTGTAAGAATACGTCTGTATAATCACCTAATTGTATCTAAAGACAAAAAAACACGCGTTGAATGTAATGAAACGCCATTTTCTGGGCGAGTCCCGTCGGCTACCTGGAGCTATCCAGGCTGAATGGATATGTATAACTTTCTGGCATCAGTCAATGTGCACAGACTTCTTGCCTACCAGCTGGGAGGGAGCCGGCCAGCCGAGCGGACAGCACGCTGGACTTGTGATCCTGTAGTCCCGGGTTCGATCCCGGGTGCCGGCGAGAAACATTTCACCCTATGCCCCTGTTACCTAGCAGTAAATACGTACCTGGGAGTTAGTCAGCTGTCACGGGCTACTTCCTGGGGTGTGTGTGTGTGGTGTGGAAAAAAAAATAGTAGTAGTAGCAGATAGAAACAGTTGATTGACAGTTGAGAGGCGGGCCGAAAGAGTAGAGCTCAACCCCCGCAAGCACAACAACTAGGTGAATACCAGAGACCACGAGCCAGAACCTGGCCTCCTCAGAGAGGCTCGACTAGCAATAGCCTATAGAAACCCCCCTGTGGTTGGGAGCATTCTGTGTCTGCCATCGACCGGGTCTGACACCCAGAAAGGTAGGCATCCCAAAACAAACCCCTATTCTGGTGAAACTATTACTACCGAAAGCTGAACGAGTGGACAGAATTCCCCAAACGAAAATTTGCTAACTAGCATGACATCACGTTGCCGCGCCGCTGTCTGTGCAACCCCCTTATCCCCCCAAGCCCCAGCCCTGGGAAGGGGGAGCCCCAGACCACTGCGCCAGCATTCCAACTACCAGTTCTTAGGCTGGATGTCAAAATATGCAAAAAACACTGCCGACCGGAGGGAGGGAGGGATGCTGGGGAGCCTCCGGGACTCACCCAGAAAATGGCGTTTCATTACATTCAACGCTGGTTTTCTGGTGGGAGCCCCTTTGGCTCCCTGGAACTACCCAAAGACAAGGAAAAACAGGGACTTACCCGGGAAGTGGTAAGTCTTCACTCCTCAATGCGAAGTCGAGGCAACTGGCTGCAACTGCCGACCCAATGCAACGCACGCCCGACTAGGCCCAGGAACATTCACGAGGTAGCATGCAGCCAGAATCCTGTTCAACCGTCAAAAATCCCTTGCCCGAATGTCAACCCAAGACATGTTGCCAAAGACGACAGCCAAGGCAGCAAACTTACGAACATCGTGGGCACGGGGATAGACCATAGGCTGGCTAGACTTAATAACCATGTGGACGACCCGAGAGACCCAAGCCCGGGAACAGGGAACGAGAGAAACCGGGTTAACCCAAAGCACACCCTCGGCCAACCAAACCTGTGGGGCGCGCAAATAACGGCGGAGAGCCGTAACTAGACAACACATGATGCACCCCCGGTCTGACCAATAAGCATCAACAACCCAAGGACCCTGCCAAAAGGATGACTCTCCTCTGGTAAGTCTCCAATTGAGCCAGGACCCAGAGTAACAGCTGAACCAGAGGAAAGAAGCGCCACGTATACCGGGAGACGCTTCAACCCATGCCAACGTAAAAAGATCCACTTCCGGGGACCAGAAAGTCAGGCAGAGCCAACTGAACAAGTTGGCGTCAATCGTCCATTCCGTGGACAGGAGAATGAACCGGGACAAGCCATCCACCAAAACATTAGACATCCCCGAACATGAACTACCAGGAGACCCAAGCCCCGAGAACTCATCAGACAAGTCACTCAAAGCAATCAGCCCCAAAGAGCCAAGGACCACAGGGAACCCCCTCAGTTCAGGCAATGAACCACTAAGGAACTGTCCAAATAGAGCCTGATCGTAGATCCGCGAACGACCTGAATCATCCGGAGCGACATCCATACTGCCGCAAACTCCTGCAACATGCTGTGAGCCCGACAGAAGGAAGGACCCCACCGACCTCGGCCGGCCTGTTGAGCACTGGTCACAAATCCTCAGCCGAGAGACGACGTGTCCGTGAAAACATCAAGCGAGGGCTCGGGTAGGCGCCAAGGCACTGAACACCGAAAAGCCCGAAGAGGAAGCTGTCGACACAGCACCTGACAAAACGCCCCCGGAAGAAGAACCCGGAGGTCGCAAGATAGGCGGGACGTCCCAGAAGGAACCAGAACAGCCGACAAAGCCACACCAGACTCGTGGCAAAGTTCAGGCTCCCGCACAAACCCTCGAGTAACCACCACGTTACCCGGAAGTCCCTCAGAAACAGAAGAAGGTGAGAACGCAAGCAAAGCAGAGCCCCCAGAGGCAGAGAAAAGGAAGTGGTCCGAGCGTCCTACACAAGACCCAGCCAAGACTGAAACTGAGAGGGAACCAGATAAGACTTTCGCCAGTTCACTAAGAATCCAAACCCGGCGAGCTGGGAAAGAACCAAATTACTGGTGAGAAGACACGCGGACCGGCTGGGAGCCCAAACCAGCCAGTCGTCGAGGTAGGCAAGAAACTGAACACACAAGAGACGCAAGCAGGCGAGTAAGGCGTGTGAAAATGTGAGGCGCCAGATTCAAGCCAAATGGAAGGCAACAAAAGCTGTAACCTTGATGCCCCACAACAAAACTGAGCCAGTCTCTGAACCTTGGATGAACTGGGTCATGCCAAGAACTGGGAAAAAGCCAAGAGAGAAAGAACAAAACATCCTTGTCTTCCAAACTGACGAAACCCGCTGAAAAGAACGAAAAAGGTGGAAAGCCCGCCAAGAAGAATAACAGAAGAACCAGGGGAGAAAGGCGGATGTACAGGAAATCCCACCCTGAGTAGTTCTGCCGAAAAGCATCAACCCTGACAGCTTTGCAGTAGGGGAAGGGCGCCAAATATACCGGGAGATGCCTCGATCACGCCAACGCAAAGAGGTCCACCTCTGAGTGCCCGAACATCTGGCAGAGCCAACTGAATGAGTTGGCATCGACCGTCCATTCCGTGGACATGGGAATGAACCAAGACAGGCCATCCGCCAGGACGTTGGACACCCCCCAGACGTGAACCGCCAGGAGAGCCAAACCCAGAGAGCTCAGCAAATGAGTCACCCGAAGCAACCGGTCCCAAAGAACCAAGGACCGCATCGAACCCCCCTTAGTTCAGGCAATAAGCCACCGAGGAGCAGTTCGAATGGAGCTGAATCATTGATCTGCGGGCAACCCGAATCCTCTGAAGCGCAGACCACACCGCTGCGAACTCCCGCACTATGCTGTGGGCGCAATAGAAGGACGGACCCCATGGCCCCTGGGCAGGCCTGGTGAGCACTGGTCATAAATCCCCAGCAGAGAAAGGACGAATCTGTGAGCACATAGAACGAGGGCACGGGTAGGCGCCAAGGCACTGAAACCTGAAAAACCCTTGGAGGAAGCCAGAGACGCAGCAGCCGACTCAAGGGCCCCCGGAGCCTCAATATGAGCCAGAGCCAATGATAACCTCAAGAGGCCGAACCCAGCGATCACAGGAGAGGCAGAACAGACGTCCCTGAAGAAACCAGAATAGCCGACAAAGCCAAACCCGACCGGGGGGGAGGTAAACCATCATCGGAAAGTTCAGGCTCCCAAACCTGGCTAGCCGGGAAAGCACCAAATCCCTGGCGAGCAGACGCGCGGACCGACTGCAAGCCCAAACCAGCCAGTCATCGAGGTAAGCACACACCCGAACACCTAACAGATGCAGACAGGCCACAACGACCTGGGTAAGGCTTGTGAACAGGCCTTACCCAGGGTCATTACCCTGGGCCTTACCCAGGGCCTTACCCCACGCGAACCATGCTCAGACGGGACCACAGGTGGCAACAGCTCCGAAACTGGCACCTGTGGCCCACCTCGACGAGCAGAACCACGGGCCCTGGTACGACCCCCTCTGGGAGGATTCCACCCGGGACCCATGGAGAACCAACAAGTCAGACATAGGGCAGCAGCTGGAGGAAGCTGCTTGCATACATTGTTCGACCGCAGAAACCACAAACAACAAAGGGCATAAGGGCGAAGACAATTTCAGAGCAAGGGCCCAAACAGATTCCAAGGAGGAAACGAGCACCACCTGCCAACACACGAGGAGCGCAGCGAAAACCCGCAGGATTAGCGCAAACAGCTTCAAAAGTGCAGACAACGCACGAGCAGCCGAGGTCAAGGCGCTAGACCCAGGAATGGCCCCAAGCGCCTCTACATTCTGTGTAAGCCAATCGGGTGACAGCTCAAGGAGGGAAATGAAATACAGGACTGAAGCCAACTACCTCCGAGTGCGCAAGTCCTAAACCACAAGCGTAGCAGACAAGGAAGGAACCCGCACATGAAGCTGAACCGCACCAATATCCCGCAGAAGAGCCGGAGCGAAAAGGCCCTCATGAAGGTGTGCAAAAATCACCCACCAGGTAAACCTGGACCACAGTTAACGCCTCACGCTACTGAAGCATGCAGGTACGACAGAAGGTGTCCCAAGCATCCATCGAAAACAGAGGGCAGCCCGCAAGCCAGGACGACTCTGGAACCTCATAACGAACACAGTATGGAGACTAAGACCCAAACGTGAAGACGGAAACTTTATAGATGCATGCTCCGGGTTGCGCAGGAGGTAAGCCGCAATGGCCACCTGCACCTCAACTGGAGA